CAAAGCCGCCTGCCGCTGCTCTTGCTCTTTGCGCTCTCGGGCGGGCGCCCGCGCTCCGCGGCCCTCGCCCGAGCCGTGTGCTCTGCCGTTGCAGCCGCGGAGCTCGACCTGCAGCAGGCCCTGCACCAGTCCATCTTCATGCCCTCGCTGGCGTCCAGCCCGCGCCAGCGGCTCCCCCCGTGCTGGGAGGAGACCCACCCGCTACCGCGGGGCTCACGGCCAGGGACGTGGCCAAGTGGTCGGTGGAAGAGGTGAGTGCCTGCGCGCGGGGCCTTGGAGCCAGGCGCTCCCGGAGCCGCTCCGGAGACCCCCCTTGCTTCTCTCTCCGCTTGCCCTTCCCAGGCGATGCCTTTCGGTTGGCTTTACAGCCACTCCATGTGCAAGAAATTACTGACTCACTTCAAAGTTATACCCAGGCCCCCCAGGAAGGGAGGGAAAGGATCCGTATTAACCCTCCAGTGTCCACAGAGCTCCCTGAATAGGATTCTTCTGGTGCACGTTTATTTACTCTTCAGTCTTGGAGCCTGCAGGCCCGAAACATGACGCTGGCAGCGATTTTTGCTTCTCTCTCATGTCCCTCTCCCGTTCACTTGGCTGCTGATTTGCTTTTGCATTTCACATGCTCCCAGATCCCCTCCTCCTTCATCTCCTCTCCTGCTTCCCCTGCAGCAAAACCGCCCCCGGCCCGACCTGCTTTCTGGCCGAGGCAGCCGCGACAGCTCCGGCTCTCCGAGCTCCTGAGGTGCCTCCTGCAATTAGGCGATGTGTGACAACAGCATCTTGTGTGTGCTGAGTCGGTGCTTTGCCTCCGCGCCTTGTGCAGAAATAATATTTGTACCTCTGTGAGGAAGCGGCGACGGTTCCAACCTTGGCACTTAATCAGAGACCGTTTAATTCAGGAGAATTAATGCCAGGTCTGCCAGGAAGCAGCTGATCTGCCAAGTGGGGAAAAAGGTGCCACTTTTGTTACGAAGCATCGAGGGTCTCCAGGGACTTCTAGAAAGTTTTCCTGAAGTGCCTCTTGCATTGGGTAAATCCCATCCTGACTTTGCTCTTCCTGCCTGACTCTGGCCGGGCTGTGGTACCGCGGGAGACGGGAACCAGCGCAGGCGCGAAGGGGATCGAGCAGTTGCTGTGACTGGCTAAAACCCGGCCCTTTGCGTTGGTTTGTTTCGTGTTCTAATGAAAAAGTGTTTGAATCGAATTTGCAGCAAACATATGGAGGCAAAAAAATCTCTCTGGGAGATTTGCTGTTCGTATCCTTTCTCGAAGCTTGCAGAGGTTTTTCCAAAAGGTCTTACAGTAAATCAATGAGGGCAGGAGCAGTTAATCCTCTGACATAAAAATAAGCAGGATGTCTTTCTTTTGGATAAAACATGGAGGCTGTTTCATAGAAGAGCAGAGTCAGGACACCAGCCAAATAAAATTTTTCCTTTGCAGTTGACCTTTAAAACAACCGCAGGGCAGATTTAACTGGGGCATTAGTTAGGTAACAGATGAGTGTAAGTAGGGAGCGCAGTGCGGGCGCAAAGGGGCTCCGGACATGGCGCTTCCAAACCAGAACGGGCCGAGCTGTGACCTGCGCCTGTGTCTGAAAAATGGGGTGGCCACTGGCAAGAGGGGACGGCGCAGTAAGGAGAGGAGCTGCAGGGGATCGGCTGCAGTCATTGCAGGTTTTGTCTTGAATTTCAATAAAGGAGAGTGGGTTTTGCAAGTTCTGCTCATCGCCAATTCCCGCAGGAATCGGCTCGGCCTCCGTGCGAGCGCTCGCGCGGTCGGCGCGCGCCGCTGACCGGGTCCGCGCAGACGAAAGGCAGCAGCTCCCCTGCGTGCGGCAGGGCCGAGGCCCCCGCGCCGCTGGCACTCAGCTCCCCACAACCTTCCTGCGGGGCAGAGGTTTGCGCAGGGCTCCTGCTTTGAACTCCGGCACAAAGGGGACCGTTCTGCCGGCCTCAAACGCGAGCAGAGCGATGGGAGTGCAAAGTTCTCCTTTGGTTTCAGATGAAGAACTGTTTTTATTGTACAAAACCCACATTAAGGGTGCGGGGGGAAAATCTTTAATTCTCTGATGGTTGAGAACAGCTGAACTGGCAGAGCAGCAGCAGGATTTTCAGGCCCTCAAGCTAAGAGGCTCTTGGTAGCGCTGCACGATCAGCACGAGCAGCTGTTTTAATGCAGCCGTGTTATTTATTGGAAGCTTCTCCCTGTCTGCGGAGCAGAGCCGGGGAAGGGTGGGGAATCGCACGGGAACGTTGGTAGGGGACAGAGTTGAGTTGCTGGTTAGTTAACCCTGCCCGAGATGCTACGTTAATGCTAAAGGCCTTCTGCACCTCCCACAGCCTCCCAGCTCCCTGCTGCATCCAACACCTCTCCCCACCTCGGTCCCTCCTGACCCCCTTCCCCTTGGCTGCGGGTCCCGTGGCCACGGGCAAGGGGCCACAGGGCTCCTCTACCCCTGGCGCTCCCGTGTGCCGCCCTTGTGGCCCTCGTGCTCCCTTGGGCCTCCCCGAGGGCGCCTGGAGGCTCCTTGGGGCAGGCGGAGGGCCTGGAAGCACCGTTATCCCCAAGGCCCTGCCAGCCTCAGGGATTTTATTGCCATGACCTCTAAAAATCTGGAAGATGCCTGACCCAGCAGAAAGGGTTTTGTTTGGATTCCCTGGGGGGGGCTTCAAAAGGAAACACAGAAGAATCAGCGTTTTGTTATTTGCTAACAGCAAGTTTGCTCGCCTCCATCACAAAATCTGGAGTCGTTGAATGCTGAAGCTGTTGATTTTCAGGGGGTTCCCTTAAAAACGTAGCCGTCCCTGTTAGCACCGAGTATTGGGGAAGCATCGGACGCGGTGGGAGAGGTGCTTGACTTCCAGATTACATAACAGAAACCTTGGGAATGGGAGCTTCCCCCGGAGAGGGGCAGGATGGCGGGACAGCCCCCTGGAGAGGGGCAGGATGGCAGGACAGCAGCAAACAGAGCCCGAGGAGCCGCCCTGGCCCCGGGGCTAAAGGGAGCCGCTAAAGGGAGCCTCCTTTTCCCCCCCCCCGGCTCTGCCGCGGGCACAGGCGGAGGGGCCGGTGCTGCTGGAGGCCCCTCGCTGCGCTCGGGAGCGCTGCCCGCGTCGCCTGTGCAGTGCGGTAACACAGGGGTTCCTTGCGAGCATCCCTTCCAGCTGAGAAATGTTCTCCCTAATGCCAACAGTCGAGTTCAGTGATGTTGTTTTAATCCCACTGATTCCGTGGATCCTGTCCCTCAAACCACCACAGATTAAAGCAAAGCAAAACTCCTTCCTCGCGCTTCGTGTCATCCGTAGATTTGTATTCCAGTTTCCACGCTTGTCTCTTACAGAGATGTTGTCATGTGAAGCTAAATCCTTTTTCTTCTAGATTTCTGACAAAACCACACAGAAAATGAACGATGTAGATGAGTTTAAAGTAGAGGAACGAGACATTTTGAGTTGATGTCCCATTTTAATTGTCCACTTCTCTCTTTCCCCTGTTAATCGCAGGTGGCAAACTTCATCCAGCGCCTGCCCGGCTGCAAGGAGCAGGCCCCGCTGTTCCGGGACGAGGTAAGTGCAGGACCTCGGGCAGCAGGAAGGTGCGTGTGTGCTCGGGCTGTTGCAGAGCCACGGTGCTGGTGGCCCTGACAGGCTCACGTTTGTCACTAAAGAGCCCCTGGCGCTGGGGAGGCAGCTTCAGTACGGAGCCCAATTCCAGCGTGCTTAATTGCATCCAGCTGCTTTAAAGCTCCTCTGCTGCTGGAGTCGCTTTGCTGGTGCCTAACGTCCTGCCCTGGCCTGTTATGCCCTTCTGGCACCGCTCTGGAGACGTCCCGTTGGAACGGTGCAAGCAGGAGCCCGGCTGCTCCCGGCGCCGGGAGCAGGTGCCGGCTCTGCGTGGCCCCTCCGAGGAGTCCCTGGCTGCTCCCGCGCTCCGCGGTGAAGCGGAGCGGAGGGATTGTCCTCGCATGAGCGTGTTTTGGGCAACACTTGTGCTCTACCAAGTGCTTTGGCTTCCAGTTACCTTTGAGGTGTGACGTGGAGATCCCATAGGAGCTTCCGATCGACAGCCAGAGACACGTCCCCGTATAGGTCACCCCTCCAGCCTCCGCTTCGGCTGACACACGAGGGCGAAGGCTTTTATTTATGTATCTGTATTTGGTTTTCACTTATTAGAAAAAAAATAAGACTAACAAAAAGCAAAAGAAATTAAGGCTTGCAAAAAAAAAATACTGCAAAATAACAGTACAGCAGGATCCTGCTTACTTGAACGCAGTGGGAGTAATGGGATTTGTCCAAGTGAACCAGCCTGTCAGTACAGCTGAGGGTAAAAGATGCGTCCTAATTACTAGTGACGACGTATTCAGAAATTAGGGCTTGGTAAGTGACATGTAGCTAGCAAGTCTCCTATTAGGATCATTCACCATTTATTATTTTCCTGCAGGTTTCGTTTAGCAGGTCCTAGCCCCTCTTCCAGCACCTTTGTTACTTTCCAGGCGCAGCCATGCTCTATTTTAGTATCTCACTTTCCGCAGCCTCAGGTTTTCACTCTCTTTGCCAAGCGAGAGGGACTTGGGCTTTCTTTTTTTTCAGGTTTATGCTCAGGCTAAATTGCCAGTTTGAAATGAAAACCCTTTCAGCAAATGTGCCTTTGGCCAGAGCTCACGTGCGCGGCCGCGCTGCTGAACTCCCCAGAACTGTCCATTAGCGGTAATCAGGCCTGGGAGTGCTCTCTGCTCAGGATAAATAAATCCCTTGCAGCCGTTCTTGGCGGGGGGGACGAGGGCTACATTGCTGCTTACATTAGGAACGAAGAGAACAAATTGTGCGCAGAATTTTAAAAACCGCTCGAACGAGACGGAGCAAAGAAGTGCAGAGCCAGCCCCAGGCAGCGTGCTGCGCCCGTGCTCAGGGCAGGGCTGCCCAAGCGAAGGCGTCTTGGGGACAGCGTGGGGACACAAAGCACAGTAACGTTAGGCTCAAAAGCGTTTCCAAATGCAGGACTCTCTTCCAGCCGTTTTCTTCTACTCTTGGCTCTATTTAATTGAAGCAGTGATCCGTTTATGTCAAGGTATTTTTAGCATGTTAGCGTGCTCATTGCAGCAGTGCAGACTCTGGGCAGCTTGCAAACATAAATGGGTGAAATTATCTGTCGATGGGGAGCACCGCTGTCGTTCCCAGCGCAGACACCGGCTGGTCGAGTAACTGGCTAATGGTCTCCGGTGTGGTTAGAGCAGAAAAGGGGGAATGAGACCTCCCAGCTGCCAGCTCCTTGCTTTAATTGTAGGTTTGTCAGAGTTAATTAAACATAGCTGTTTCTAGCAGTTGTTGAAATGCAAGGACGTTGTAGCTGGGACAGCTACAAGGGGAGCAGAATTGCTGCTGTGGATCAGATGAATGTCCCGGGTCGCCCGACAATGCTCTTGGTCTCTGCAAATGGGTGTTAATGGAGTAATGTGTCCCGGAGAGATGCCCATTCCTTGTCTCTGTCCATTAATCCTTGGCTTCTTCCCTGAAGCATTTTTTATTTGTTTCAATTATATCTTGGTCGTCTCTGGGTAGCTGCGGATGTTCTTGGGAACCCAAGTAAATTGCTAATCTTCTTTAGAAGAAAAAAATTAAAAAATAAAAATTTCAGTCTGTGGTACCCATCAGATTGGAGAGCAGACAGATATTTACTTCTCAGGAATTTTTCTCCTCTGTAAGGATTTTAGCAAAGCTGACCAAACATCAGCGCAGAGGGGGGCATTTGGCTTTAAATTTTACCCTGAATGGCTTAAGAGAAGTCCCAAAATCTCCAGCGAGAGCATGTACTGGATGCAGTAGGAAATGGTGATCTGATATTTCTAATTGTTG